AATTTTTTTTAAATAAACCATATTAAAGGTACTTTAGAGGAAGAAGTACATGACATTGGGCATTTAAGTCCTGTAAAGTGATCAATGGGGATAAGACCTAAATGATATTAAAGACCACTTAATTATTCAACGATACACCGAGTTTAATCAAAATCATTAGAGTTGTTTTTGAGAAAAGTGTAAAAATGTGTTTCACTGTTGATATAAAGTGTCACTTCCGGTTAGCCGATTTTTATGAAAAAGTTGCTGTAACATTTCATATAAAAAGCTTAAATATAAAATTTCACCTTCGTACAACTTTCGTTTTTGAGCTAGGCTGCTAACACATACACACATATACCACTTTGCTTGACTTTGTTATTTGGACTCAGAGGGACCTCAAAACATGTATTTCCGTTGATATCTGATATTCGAAAATTTTCACGATCGCAATACTTTCCATAACTAGATATTACATATATAGATAAGTAAATGTAAAAAGATAATAATCTACACTGACAATCAAGCAGCAATAGGTGCTTTAAATAATCATTATATTTACTCAAAGATTGTTTAAGACTGCAGTATAGCTCTTAACAATCTTGCTGAGCTTAACAGAGTTGCGATTGAGTGGGTGCCTGGTCATTCGGGCATTCCTCGAGGATCGAGTGAATTACCCCAGAAGCTATGAGTCTATCAATCCGATAACCCTACTATTATATGTGGAAGTGACTAAATTAACGTTTTAGGAATAAAACGGATGTTATACATGGCGCACAATAGATCCTCAATGGTCGTACTGCTTTGTACCAACGGTTTAAAAAAAAGAAAATATGTAAAATTAAAATACATTTAAAATATTTACAACCTTATAGATAGAAAAAAAAATGGATAAGAACAACAAACAACTTCTTATTTTTTATTCATCACAGTGCTATTACAAAAGTGATACTCAATCTTTTCGAATTCATAAATAATAAACAAAAAATAAAATAAAACAAAATAGTGGTGTATGAAAAGAAAAAAAGTCCTTGTTACATAATACATAATTAACCAGCGTCTGACTGGATTGTGAAGAGGAATTGGAATAAGAGGGTTTTGAATGTGGATAAGGATGGTGCATGGCGGATTTTAAGTGGGATGGAATTTCAAAGATGGTGGAGCGGACAATAAAAGAATGCTGAAATAAAACAGATCTATGGAAAGGGGTGTAAAGGTCAGAAGAACAAGATCTTGTCGAGAGAGAGTGGATAGATGATTTAATTAGAGGAGATTGTATGCATAGGAGGAGCGATGATTGTTGATTATTTGGTAAAGGAATGTACCAAGGAAGTATTGTCTTCTGAAGGAGGGGAAGAGCTACCCTAACTAGACATAGTAGTGGAAAACACGGGAACGTCTCAGGGTCTCTTTGACAAACCTTACTTAGCTATTCATAATTCTTTTTAGCCTGTCCCCGAGTTCCACCAAGACGCCACCATACAACATGTAGCCTTAGTAAAAGTAGGAGAAGACGAGGGAGGATACTAGGAGTCTACGTGTGGATATAGGTAGATGGCGGAAGCGATGGAATAGTTTAAAGGTACAAATTGACCGTCGAGAGATGAGGGCAATATGGCGATTCCAGGAGAGGGTTTGGTCAATGAAAATGCCCAGGTTTGTAACTGAGGAGCTGAAGGTGATGATGGGATTGTTATTTAGGTACAGAATAGGAATGTTGGTATTGGACTTGAGGAGGGGTTTGGAACCAAAGACAATGGCCTAAATTTTATTAGGGTTTAATCTTAATGCATTTATATGTGCCCAGGTGCTGATGTGATTTAGATCTTCTTGGATTTTGGCAAACGCATCATACAACTAAAAGGGAGGTAAGGAAAGATAAATTTGGGAATCATCGGCATAGAGGTGATGGGAATATTGGAGGATTTATGATAGCGCCCTGGGCCACTCTTAAGGATAGAGTAAGATAGGAAGACATAAGTTGATCAGGAATAGCGAAAGCTTGTGAACGTTGAGAGAGGAAAGACTGAATCCAAAGAATAGCGCTGTTGGAAAAAGATAATGATTTTAATTTGTAAAAGTCAAGGAGTACAAGGACAGTTATTTTTTTATTATCTATAGCGGACTGATTATTACTAATGATTTTAATTATGAAAGATTGTGTGGAGTAACCTGGTCGAAAACAAGATTGGAAAGGGTCGAGTTGACTGGAATATTCAAGGAAATTGGAAACTTGGGATTGCACTATTCTTTCCAGAGGTTTTGAAAGGTTGGAAAGGATTGAGATTGGATGAAAATCTTTGGAGAAAGAAGGTTAGAATTTTTATTTAAAGGACAAACGTTGTTTTTCTTCAATGAGGTAGGAAATACTGAGTTTTGGAGAGAAATTATATATGAAAAGGATAACAGGAAGGATTTTGGGAAGGCATAATTTGATTAATTTGGCGATATATTAAGTAACGCATGAGTAGAATTTGTTTTATAATAGCTTAATTGGGTAGGCATAAATGCGAATTTTATAAATGTGGTGTGTATGTGGATTTTATATTGTAATTTAATCAAATTTGTCAATACCTTTTATACCAGGTTGTACATTAATAGAATTTATTTGAAACTTCCTATATTGGAGAGACAGTAACTTTATAATGTGGATTAAATAAAATTTGTCGAGGCATGTTATACAGTGTATGCATAAATAGAGCTTATTTTGATAGTTGCAAGCTGAAGCATTACAATGTTAATTTTATAATGTAATTTAATATCATTTGTCAAGATTTTTATTATTTTATTTTTTCTTGTGGTCAGTGTACAGATGTAAGAAGCTATCGTGGAGCAGACTATAATTTGCATAACTCTCTGAATAGAATTAAAATATGTCAAGAGTTTGAAGTGAATACACGAAAAAGAGGATCAAGTGGAAAGAAGTAGATACGAAGTCCATGATTTGAAAAATCCAGAATTAAAAACCTAATTCCAAAGTGAGCTGAAGAATTAATTCAAACCTTTGGACTCAGAGAGCCTCACAGTGGACCAACAATGGGAGGAGATAGGAAAAGGGCTAAAAGAAACAGATAAGAAAGAGATAGGCATTCAGGAAAAATGAAAAGCTCAGATAGTTATAGATCACAGAAGCATGTGATAATGCAGTACAGGAAAGAGGAAATATGAAAGCCCTCTGCCTAGCCACAACTGATCAATCTACTCTGTAAAAGTACACACACAGCCACCTAGAAAAAGGCAAATAAAATTACAAGATCAACTAAAAGGAAATTCCTCAAAGAAAGATAGCAAACCATTAAGGACAACTGGCAGGCTAGAGACACACAATAATTCGATACAAACATTAGGAAAGTAAAGGTAGGATATAAAATGAAAAATACCCAAATGCGAGGAAAAGAAGGGCTTCTGACGACATCTAAAGAAAACATATTGAGCACTTGGAAAGAACATTTTTATTAGCTTCTCAATCAAGGGGACCCCATGGACGAAGAAGAAAAGGACAACACTAAGGACCTTGACCCGAAATAGGCTGAAAAACCAGACATACTGGATGTGAAAATAGATATAGAAAGGCTTAAAACAAGAAAGGCCAAAGAGATGGACAAAGTACCATCAGAACTGTTTAAAGATGGAGAGGGAAGGCTTAAGAAGTTACAACTAATCCAGAAAATAAGGGAAGAGGAAATGATACAATGAATGAACATTGGTCAGAAATAGACCAGCGTATAACAATCACAAGCCTCTGCTTTCTTCTCTCTTTCAAAGGTATTGAAATCCCGAAAACTTTCAATAAATCTCAAATTAAGTTATTAATGGTGTATAATGATGTGACAAAGCCATTCTAATACATGGCTATGAGACCTGGCCATTAACCAGAGTCCTAGAAAACATTATTGAAAGATTTGAAAGAAAAATTGATTCACACGATAACTGGAGTGATCTGGGATCAGAGTACTAACACATGGAGGAGAAAGACCAATAAAGAGCTGCTTACAGAAACTGATCAATCAATATCTCATGATTTGAAGTCACGGAGGTAAAGATGAGCGGGGCATGTAGCTTGAAGCTTTCATCTGGAAGCTTCTACACGACAATGAGTGCTCCAATAGTAGGCAAAATACCACATGGAAAGCCAAAAAGCAGATGGGTAGATATAATCAAAAGCAATAGAACAAAAATTTAATAGAGCTACATGCATATAGATGGAAAGAAATAGCCCAAGATAGGCAGAGATGAAGTAGGCTTGTTAAGGCAGAAAAAGATTTACAAGGTCTGTAATGCCAGCATTAAAAAAAATAAAAATTATTTTACATAGGTCATAGCTATGTTCAATAAACATCTGTCAGAGGTTTACATCAATCTAATGTCTTATAACTTTAAATGTCTGAGTTTGTGTCAACATTCAGGTGCCAAATGTTAATTTGTTTGTACCTCTGTTCTGTTATACACATGATACCAAACATTATTCAACCTACCTGTTTCTGATCATTTACATTCTTTTAATTTCATGATTAATCATAGACCAGCCTTGGTGACTAGAGACTGAATATGCCCTAGGAGGGTCCCTCGACCCTGGGACAATCCACAGCAGATGAAACATAATAAATAATTTATCTGTCATAACCCAGGATTCAAAATTTTCTTTTCTTGGATTACCCTACCATTTCTGGCAAACGAGAGGGGAGGGAGTTATTCTAGAGGTACAACCAAACCTATTCTAACCAGAGTGGGAAAGTCGATTTTCATTCCATGGGTCCACCACGAAATAAAAGTTAACTCTTCCCAGGCCAGATTCGAACTGGCATCAATAGGCACAAGAGCTACAACAGGCAATGCTCAAACACTCTCGGCCATCACTACCACTGAGAGCAACCCCACTTCCTTTTAATAGTAAATATACTTAAATTTCTATTCGCATTGAAATTAATTATTGGAAAAAACAAAGATTTTAAAATCAAAATAACGTTTTTGGTGAAAAACACTTTATATAAAATATACATAAAATTGAAATATTTTCATACCAGTGAAGTCCAAAATATTGCTCTTTTCTGCAAGATAGTGGTTGTAAACACTGAATAATAATTTCATGCAAAGTCCTTTCGACTGGTATGGAGGTAAGATCAGAACTTGGCTTATACGAGGTCTAATGTGCTCCGGGTAGGCATAATAGTCGTAAACAGATGCATATCCAACCACTGAATATCTGATTTCTTCACCAGAGTGATATTTTTCAAACCTAAATAGGAAGGAATGATAAGTTATATAAAAAAATAGAATAATAGTTAATAAGTATAAAAATCTTGAAAAAATAATTGATAGTTCAATGGTAGGGAAGTCAAAAATCTGGTGAGCGCGCAACACACAACTTTCACTTACCATTCAACTTTGAATAAAACTATTTTCTCGCCATAATGGGCTATTATAAAATTTTTTATTTGCATTTTTAACCGAGCTAAAGCTTAAAAATTACAGCAAACAAATCATAAATACCATTAAAACAACAAAAGTCCTATTTATTATATCACCGGTTAATTATGGATTGTACGATCTGTTGATTATGGATTAAACGATCCGTTGACTATGGATTGTATGACTATAAGTTATTAAACTTTCATTTTCCATTGCAATGCTTACTAAAACGGAATTAAGAGATTTGCATTGTCTGTCACAGACCGATCAAAAGTTGTCACACTAATTGTAAGTGGATATTGTTGGAATATCACAAAAGGAAATTTCATCAAACTATTCACTAATTTAATTTTCTAAAAGGTTACATGATGATTTTTCGGAATAAACGAACAATAGATACCTAAATATTTAAATATAATATCAGATCTAGTTTTATTAAACTACAGTAAATAGAAAAAGAAATAGGAATAGAAAATAAACTTTATTCTGGGATGATGTCCACTTAGAATGACAATAATGAACAGTTACAAAAGAAAATTACATATCTGGCCAAAAACTAACTTAATAAAGATTTAAACAATATACACAACAACTTAAATAATAGTATGTAAACAACTAAAAAATAAAATAAAATCTTCTCAACTATACTTATAATTGTACTGGAAAAAATAACAAAAAGAAAATAAAAGAAAAACAATTACATGTGTAGAAAGAAAAAGCAAAACCTCCAGAAAAAAAATATACCAAAAGTATATAATAAAAAGTATTGACTTGTTATGTTAAAACCCTAACATCTAAAACATACAAAATATATACATAGATTAAAGATATATTAATGACAGAAGATGGAGGAGATTGTATACATGGGGCGGGCGATGATTGTTGATTATTTGGTAAAGGAATGTGCCAAGGAAGTATTGTCTTCTGAAGGCGGGGAAGAGCCACCCTAACTGGGCATAGTAGTGGGAAACACGGGAACGTCTCATGGTCCCTTCAACAAATCTTAGTAAGCTATTCATAATTCTTTTTAGTCTGTCCCTGAGTTCCACCGAGAGGACGCCGTAGTCAAGGTAGGGAAAGGGAAAGATAAGGGAGGATACTAAGAGTCTACGTGTGGTTGTAGGAAGGAGATGGAGGAAGCGATGGAATAGCTTAAGGGTACAAATTGACCGTCAGGAGATGTAGGCAATATGGTGCTTCCAGGAGAGGGTTTGAAATGAAAATATATTTTATTATTCTGGGACTGTTGTCCTTTTGAACAAATTATAAGTACTGAATACATGTATATGTGGTCATAAATGGAATAAATATTTACAATATTGGTTATTTAAAAGTAGAAATACAGAAGGAGAGAGAGCAAAAGACATGAAAAGTGTATATATATATATAATAGAATCAGAGAAAACTAAAATAACAGACATATTTTCTATATTAGTAGGATAGAGAAAGAAGTAGGTGTTTAAAGAGGAGAGATTTGAAAGAGGAAACTGTTTGTGAGTGTCGAATATCAGGAAGGATGGAATTCCAGAAGGAGGTGGCTTGAATTGCAAATGATCTGTTGTCAAATGCAGCAGTTCAGTGAGGAGGGGAATAGAGATCGGAAGTGCGAGATCTAGGGGGAAGGGATAGGATAGAATATTTAAATTCTAAGCTGTGAAAAATATGGGTGGGTAGATGAGTTTCAATGATCTGGTACAGAAAGGTAGCTAGAAAATACTGACGGCGATAGGATGGATAGAGCAGAGCCACTTCAACTCTGTGCAATATAGGGTAATAATATGTGTATCTCTTGAGATTATGAAAACAAAACGTAATGCGCAATTCATTAGGCGTTTAAGTTTGACCTCGAAATCTCCCGAGAGTCCACTGTACACCATACAGCCATAGTGGAGGAAACAAGAGAGGAAACTAGGAGTAACTGACGGGACTTATATGGAAGGAGATAAAGTAGGCGATGGAACTGTTTTAAGGTGGAGACAGTGCAACGGCAAATTTGGGAGATGTGTGGTTTCCAGAGGAGGGTTTGATCAAAAGTAACACCTACGTTTTCAACGATAGTATGGAATAAGATAGGTGAGTTGTTCAGAAGATTGAGGGATACCAGGAAGGATTTGAGGGGGATCTAATCAAGATGGCTTTCGTTTTCTTGGAGTTCAGAGTGAGCCTGTTGAGGTTTGCCCATTTACTTATTCTATTAATATCTTCTTGGATTTTTAGAATGGCATCTGAGAAATTGTTAGGATTGAAGGAGAGGTAAATCTTAACGTCGTCGCCATACAGATGGTATTGACAGTGCAGGATTGAGGATGGGCGGTTATTTATATAGATGGAAAAAAGGGTGAGGGATAGGGAAGAGCCTTGTGGGACACCTCTGGACAAGGGTAGAGATTCTGATGGGGGGCTATTAGGGATCACAACATACTGGGAGCGACCGGTTAGGAAGGATTGGAACCAATTAAGGGCACTAGAAGAAAAGGATATATTTTTAAGTTTGGTTAAGAGGATGTTGTGGTCTACTGAATCAAAAGCTTTAGAGAAGTCAAGGAGAATAAGGATGGTTAGTTTCTGCTGATCTATGGCTGTATGAAAGTCTTAGGAAATTTTGATTATGGCAGACTGAGTAGAATAGACAGGCCTGAAGCCGGACTGGGTTTAGGGGATTGTGCTCTAAAAAATGGGATAGCTGGGATTGGGCTAGTTGTTCTAAAGGTTTGAAAGAAGGGAAATTGGACGGAAATCATTAAGAGCTGATGGGTTAGGGGTCTTCTTCAAGGGGCGTACTAGGGCGTTTTTCCAGGATGTAGGGAAGGTAGCATTTTGAAGAGAATAATTATAGATATGATAAAGGATCGGAAGAATGGATGGTAGTGTAGCTTTGATCAGTCTGACTGGAATGTTATCAAGACCATAATCGTTGGTATGAGATTTCTAAATGGAGTTTAGGAGATCGTAATGTGGGAAAAAAAGAAGTGATCATGATTAAAAGAGTAAAACATGGGAGCTGGATCGGAGGCAGGAGTTGTGGTTGTGAAAGGGCAGGAGACAAAGTGAGCGTTGAGGTTATCGGCAGAAACGGAAACGGACTGGGAATGAGTTGTATTACAAATGGTCAGTTTTCTGATCATAGCCCACGTGGCCTTGGTATAGGTGAGTTAGATAAGGAATGATAGTAGTAAACGGAATTAAGCACGGTGTTCTGCTGATTGAGTACTGTTTCGAAGGCATTTGAAGGAGAGAAAATCTTTATGAAGTCGAGTTCATTCAAACCGTTGCCTTGCAGCATCCTTTCTCCAATACATTCTCTTAAAGCAGGAGTAAGCCAAGGAGCGGGAGGATGTCGGATGGTTTTTGTGTTAAGAGGAGCATGTGGTCGAGGATAGAGTGAAGATGAGAGGTAAGGGTTTCTACCATGGTGTCGATGGATTTTGAGGAGTAATAATATATTTCAGCGTTTTTAGTGACTGCCTTTAATCACAGGAAGAAGGAAGGCCGCCATTTCGGAGTTTGACCAGGCTCTTGGGCTATTAGGAAACAGTAACGTCCCGTTCATTGCAGTTTTGATCTCATTCTGCCAGTAGAAAGCAATGAAATATCAATGGCAGACTACATTTTTAATTAACAAGAAATATAGAAGTATCATATAGCAAAATTTCAAGCCACCTGAAATTATTGAATTTTTACTTCTTAAATTGCAATCTTAGAATATGAGTCTGCCAGTGGATTTCCGTGGCCAAACATTGGTTGTTATTAGCCCTAGTATTTGAGTAAAATATTTGGTATTCAGTACTCAAAGTAGTATGTGCCCATCTCTGCTAATTTGTGAGCTGATAAACACAAGAAGCCCATGGAAAAAAAAAGAAAAGAGACCCAATATTAAGACACTAGAAAAAATATACTATACTTACAGTCGGAGTAGGAATTTAAATAATTTTGGATACGCAGACGACATCCGAAAAATATAAAAGTTTTGAAGCATGAAACAAATATTGCATCTCTAAAAATAATACACACTAAAAATTCTGACAATTTAACTAGGAATCATCAATACAAGCAAAGTCTTAATTAATTCTATTATTTTTATAATAGCAATTACAGTAATAATTAACTATTAAGATTCACAGAGAAATTAAAAGAAAATTATACTTACAGTACAAAAAAGTTCCACCCGCTATCATCCATATCAACATAACTTGCAGCATCAATGAACCACACTAGGAATGTTTGAAGTCTTTGATGAAAGTTGATAAAGTTAGGGGTTGAATTGGTACAGTGATAAATTTCATACTGCTTTTTTTCACAACCTAAAACATCACATAAAATTTTATAAGTGAAACTCCTAGCTGAACACACCTCCCTGAAGAAGACCTGCAAAGTTGGGTCGAAACGTTGGCTTTTAATAAAATAGTTTTGCCACTATTTAGCCTATATATGAACGCCACCCTGGACCATCTCCTTCCTTTATTTATAGAAATGTACTATTCTGTAGATATTATGCATGATATAAGTGCAAAACATCACCCATCCTCAATATTCTTATTACTCTTTTAATAATAATACTATTCAGTAAAAATAAACACCTTCAGAATTTGATCAATTTAATTTTCTCGAAGCAGAAAAACAATCCTTTCAACCATTAAAAATCTTACAAGGAAAGGTCACCAATATGGGATCCATCAATTTCAATGAACCTTTTTGTGATGAAAATAGTTAAAAAAATACTAGACTCGTGTTTGAAAGATCTTGCAAATGTGCTCCAACAGCGGATAAAAAAAAATTATAGAATTTAATATTTTTTTTTCTGCCTTTGCTCAGCATAAATTTATAAATAATTTTAATTTTTGAACTGGATTTTGTCCAAATTTAATCTTGCAACTATCGATGGAAAACTGACTGCTCTTTGAACCTATATCAATCATATTTAGACTTTATTTCTTTATTACGAAAAACTCATAAAACATTTTTATTTTATATCTCCAATTTTAATTTGTTATGGGGATCTAGTTTGAACAATTTTGTATAGTTCACAAGGCTCTAAATCCTAAGTTTTGTGTGGTTAGGTGGTGTCATGTTGAAATTGTTCTAAACCGGACATTATCTAGAGTAAGATTAGATGCACAAAGCCTGATATGAGCCTTCAGTTAATAGAATGACAAACTCCAACTGCAACATTTTTGAGTAGTCATTTTAGTGATAGTTATAGATGGAAAATTTATAATGTCTGTACAGACAGTGAATAAGTTGATTCCACAGTATATAATTGCAGTGTTTGAGATATAGAACTATGAACAAAGGTATAAAATTTACCCACTAGAAATATCACTAAAAGTAATTATAAAAAATGTTGAAATTGGAGTTAGACATTCTGTCACCTGAAAGGCTCATATATTGTCCAGATTCTGTCCTTCTTATTGGAACTATGCTCCACAAGAGAGTAAGGTCATCTGCAACAATGACTACCAGATCAGCCCAGCTCAGCACTGCCTCAGTTAGCAAACCCATAAAGTCCGCACAGCCATTCCTCCAATATCTTCCTCAGAATTTGATCGTGGGTCATTCAAGTAACCTCCTTTTTCGTATATGAGACATATAACTGTTTCATCATACCATTCACGAGGCAGTTCTTCCTTCTGCCATATGTCGATGAGAAGTATTTTAATAGTTCCGCAGACATGATGTCTGATTCAGAGGGCTCTGTTGGGGGCTTCAGCCTAAAAGCTTGAAGTCGTGGTGGCCGAGTGTGTTGGAGCGTTGCCCGGTCTAGCATCCTAATGCCCAGCGATGCCGGTTCGAATCCGGCCTGAGAGTTGTTGACTTTTATTTCGTAGCGGCCCCACGGAATGAAACTCGTCTCTCCCACTCTGGTTAGAATAGGTTTGGTTGTACCTCTAGAACAAACCCCTCCTCCCCCCCCCTGTATGGCAGAAATGGTGGGTAGGGGGTTATCTAATAAAAAAAAAAGCCTAAAAGCTTTATATATATATATATATATATATATATATATATATATATATATATATATATACAGGGGACTGGGGTAGCCTTGCGGGCTAAGGCGCTTGCAATAGGTAATCAAAGTTAAGCAACGCCGAGCGTGGCTAGCACTTGGATGGGTGACCGTCTACCAAGGAAAGCCACGCTGCCCGAGATTCTTCCCTCCCTCCCGGGTATGTGAGACCTGTCAGCCTACTGGAGGCAACTCACGACTGGGCATAGGATTGATGACCCTATCCTGTACTTTAAATCGGGAATTGGGATTTGGTTATCATTATATATATATATATATATATATATATATATATATATAATGATAATTACTTTGGAAGAAAAATAAATAAACCAACTACCTATATGAGATAGTGTTTAAGTGATTCTTGAAGTCTAATAAAACATAATTAAATGAACAATAATACTTTGAAAGACAATTTTTCAATATTCTTTGTCATAAGACATGGTTATATTTTATCATTTTGGGGGCTTCAGCTCAAAAGACTCTCTCCCACATAGATCCACATGTGGCTATATGTTACAGCTGTCAGACTGATGCTTTTATATTCAGCTGTGATCTGATGACACCGAGCCAAAATTGGTTGCAACAAGATACAGCTAGACAAATTACAAATATTAGCCTGTTTAATGATAACAGCTGCTATGAAAACTACTCCAAAACCTGCAAATGAGGTTATGTTGGGCTTTACTCCATTGCATTTGGATATAGAAGTACAGGCCTTTAAAATAATTTATAGGTTAGCTAACTTAAAACTACGTTCTAGGGTTTTAACCCATGAGAGACACTGGAAACTATTTTGGAGAGTTGATAATGATGGGGTGCTTCACAACACAACTCAATCAATGCGATTAATTGTTATACAAATGGCTCACTAATGAACAGTGCTTTGGAGCGGCCTTCTGGAAGAAGGACAGATCAGATGATGTCATGTCCATTCCACTTGGTAAATACGCGACAGTATTCCAATCTGAGATATAGGGGATATCACACTATGCCTCAAAGCTGATGCTTGTGGGTTAGTAGGACAGATGGTTTTAATTATTACTGACAATAATGGTTACTGTTACTATCACAGTTACTGTCAGCAAATACACTACACGATTTAAAGTTGGTAAGGATTGTTTTTCAATGTTAACGATGTTTCTCTGCTTAATAAAGTCACTATCTCATGGGTAACTGATCACTCGGATATTACTGGTAACAATAAAGCGGATGAATTAGTTAGGAAAGGCACTGAAATTACTCCCAAAACACTCAAACTAAAATGTGGTATTAGCATGAGCTTTATCAAAAGGAGAATTGGGGAAATTTATGGTGAAGGAGCAAGGAAATATTGATACCCCAAGAAATAGATTCATTCTAGGCTGTTCTTGATAGATCCTGTGCAAGGAGAAGCAACTTTCTGATTAACTTGAGCAGAGATTCTCTTAGCAAAATTAGAGGTCATTGTAAAATGACTATCACATGTTCAAACCCAGGGCTAAGAGAGTTACTGTTGCATAGGTTCTGTAACCGAGAAGATTAAACTGCTTATCAAATCACCTGTTGGTGCGACAGATTTGCAGGGACTAGATTATTGTTGTTTGGGAATGATGGATTGCCTGACCGTAAGAACTGTGAGCTTATAAATTTGACAATTCTTCTACATTTTGCTGATATTGCTAAAATAATGTTCTGAAATGTATCAGTGAATTAAAAAAGGTGCACAATAGACCTGATATGGCTATAATGCATTACGCCACTTAAAGAAAAAAAAGAGGATATGGAAAAACTTAAGAATTTATTTTATTTTAAATATAACCTACCACTAATATATTTAATTAGATTCAATTTCAGCACCAACAGTGATTTCACTGTTTTATTTTATTTTTCTCTTGCCCATAAATTCTTAAAGTCCACTTCATAAAGCTATCAATCAATGGAAGCTTAATCATTTAAAATTAAATGAAAGATCAAACAGGGGTTTTGGAGAGATGAGGGAGGGGGTGGATGAGAGATAGGTTTTTCTTCATTAAGGAGTTATGTCATTGGCAGCGTTAAGGAGAAAGTTATTATTTAGTGGAATCTGTTGGATGTAATTTATGATATTTTCATGTAGACTAGCATTAGAGTAGTCTACCAGAGTATATCAGTTTTGTGTCCCAGTCTGAGGATAAAGTATAGTTGGGGTTTCTATTGATGAGGAGTTTGAGAAAAGATAGGGAATTATTATTTTCATATTTAATAGTAACAAAGAAGGAAGTAAGAATTTACGAAGTTTTACACAGGAAGAACTGATATTGGAAGTGAAGTAATAGAAGGGGGTGCTGAGTTCATGCATTTTGGTAAGTAAATAGAAACAGGGAGGCCAAGGAGTTACATGATATGATATGAGGTTTCTGTGAGTGGGGTGGCCGAATAGGCTAAAGCGTGTGCACAGCACCGCTAGTTGCCTGGCAACCGGATAACAGAGATTTGAGATGATATAAAAAGTACGAGTTCGCGTCCCGGTGCCGGAGGGGATTTAAAATTCCCCGCCCTCACCCTCCGGCCCGGGAAAATCCCGCATAGCCTAAAAGGCGAGGTAGGGAAGAACAAAAAAAAAAATAAAATAAAAAAGGGTATGTAATTAGTTTTAAATTTAAGAGCTTTCTGATATGTTGGTTGAATTGGTTCCAGTCATTCTGTTATTGTATTCTGTAAGGTCACCATCCTAGAAGCCTAGCCTACTCGGCCTCCCTCTTGTCATATCAAGGTGTAAGAATGCATAACATTTTTTGTTTTTTCCCTGGATGTATGTATATATAAAGTTAATGTTAAATTTTTAACACCCTTACCTTGAAATTCACTGATTAATAAGCCAGAGGGATAAACTTTTTCTGTGCTAACAAGAATCTCAAAATCCTGAAGGTTTTCAATGATATCGAATTCATACTTGGATTTGATTTTTCTCATCAAATCTGAGACCTACAACAACAGAAGTTATATATTAAAAATGGACCAATAATGGGTGTGATTTATATCCTTTCCACTTAATTCAAATGCTAAATAAAAGTTAACTAATCATACCTACCTATCAGTATTTGTATACTTTTTTTTTTAATTTAGGGTTTTTAACAAAAACAACAGGTTTCCTTGAAGTAGATTTTTCATGGTGTCCTTCCACATTATTTTACCCAAGGGCCATTCCTCCTGTAGACCATGTCAAATTAAAGATTTATCAATTTCATTATCCTAAAGGTTTGTTGGTCTAAATCATGTTCAATTTATTTTCCACTAGTACACATCCCTTATCAATCTTCCTTCAGGTATTTTTTCAAAATGTCTAAACCATTTTAGACACGTTTCCTAAATTTCTTCCAGAATATTGTTTGTCTACTTCATTGTTTTCTTGTAATGTTTCATTATTATTTACTCATTCTCTCTACTGGTTCCCCGTAATCCAGTTCTAAAGGCAGAAGTTTTTTCTTATTATCGTCTTTTATGGTTCTGTTTTGCTCGATACAATGGTTATATAAATGAAGAGGTCGGAATGAATCATAAAATCCTTGGATATGCAGGTAATATAGCAATCCTTCAAAGCAATCAAGAGGACATTGAGACTGATTGACATTGAGCTAACACTCAGATAAGAGAAACAGTGAAAATAGGCCTACAAGTAAATGAAGATAAAATAAATTATATGATAAGCCGAAAATCCCACCCCAATAACAGGATCTGCTGAGAAGGTGAATCGTTTCCAAAAGTAGACAAATTCAAATACCTCGATTCCAAAATAACCTCAATGAATGACTAAAAGTCAGAAATAGACCTGCATATAACAAGCGCAATCAGAGCTTTATTCCGTCTTTCAAACGTATTGAAATTCCAAAAAAATTCAAATTAAAGGTACACAGTGCTGTGATAAGGCCAGTTTTCATATATGGTTGTGAGAACTAGACCCTAACCAGCACCCTAGAAAGAAGAATTGAAAGATTTAAGGGAAAAATCCTACACGATAACCGGAATGATCTGGGACCAAAATACAAACGCATGGAGGAGAAAGACCAATAAAGAGCTGCTTACAGAAACTGCTCAATCAATATCACATGAAATTAAGGCAAGGAGGTTAATAGACTAGAAGCCAATGACACTTGTATTCAATGGAGGAACTTATAGTTCCCCAATATCTTTTATCAACAACCCTTATCAAGTAGATATCGGATCTCCAAGTCCGGTTGTCCAGAAGAGTGCATTTTGGGTGAACTTTGGCCACGAACATGTCAGTTTTTCAGGTTCCATTCAACAGAAATGCAAGCACCTAAAATTTACACTAAAGCTGTATTACACCTAGTAAAGTTATAAGCCTAAACGGAAATAGTCCAAATTGAGTGAGTTTTGAAAACTGACACGCTCAATCAGTCAAATTTTTGAGTTCCATTCAAGGGAAAGGTAAATGGCTGAAAACATACAAAATGGTAAAGTGAGTAAAAATTCATCGCGACAGGCAACCCAGGCTGGTGTTTCCAAAACTGACACGATAATCAGTGACGACAGACGACCCACAATGGTGGGTTTTGAAAACTGACGCGATTAATGGAATAATAAATCAAGTTAATTTTTTTTAAATTCTATTTAATGGAGTGGTAAACTAGAAGTTAGAAGAATTCACCCGTGGCATGTATGGTTCGAAGCATTGCAACAATGTAAACGAAGGAAGATCAACATTTTCGAGTAAGTCATACATATAAGACTAAAAATCTTCAAATTTTTTTTATTAGATTTTTTAACTGTATCATCTCCAACCATTATCCACTCTGACAGAGAATAGAAGGAATAAATTAAAAGAACAATATTTTTTATCAGGCTTTTAAGTAATTGTAAGTTTCAGTGACCCTTGTCTAGTTGGAAATGGAAGGGACGAAATTGAATCCATATATGTGTCAACATGATTTGAAGGTGCTATGGCAACTAGTAGTCTAACTGTATTAGACTGTTTGTCACTAGTACATTGATGGATGAAGATGAAATTCTTGAAGAACTTTACAGTAAGAATTTAATGCATACATGAATAAAATCATTAAAACTTATATTATTTTTTTATTTATTAAATTTATTATCACCTAATGAAGTAAAGACTTGTTTTTTTAAATAGAATTTTTTGTTTTTTATGTGTTTCTTTCATTATTTCGTTAATCGAGAAAGTTTTTAAAATTCACTGTTGCTATGGGTCATCTGTTGCCATTGATTTTTACTCACTTTATCATTCTGAATGTTTTAAAAGAAGTCCCAGCCGTTTTCTCCTCCGTTAAATCCATTTAACCTAAATTGTTTTTTTGGGATAATTTTGAAAAACACAGGCTTGGTCTGTTGCAATTGTGTTTTTATCACTTTATCATTATGAATGTTTTTGAGAAGCCCCAGCTCTTTACTGCTCCGTTGAATGGAATTTGAAAAAAACTGATGTGAACAACAATGAATTCGTGGAAGAGCAGAACCAGATATGGAAGGCAAAAAACTAGATGGATAGATAGAATCAACAAATATATGCAACAGAACTGCATGCAGATACCTGGAAAGAAATAGCCCAAGATAGGCAGAGATGGAGAAAGAAGATGAAGGCAGCTAAAGATTTACAAGGTCTGTTATAGCAACAGAAAAAAAAAAAAATTATATATATAAAAGCATTATATGGAGCAAAAACAGATTTGTATATATAAGGTGTCCTATAAGTATATAGGAATATTTAAAGGTATACGTCAAGAACTACAAAAAAATGTTTATATAAACATTTCAGTTTTCAGCAGGAAAGTGGGAAATTTAAATTTTGTTTTTTTAGGTAAGTCATGTTTTATGTTAACAGGAAGTGATAACTAAAGAAATCTTTAGTTTAAATAATTAGCAATTGCTTCACTTATAAAGTAGACAAAATTTACTTCAAATGAAAATAGAGTTTGTCTTTGTTAAAACCATCGAAAGGGGACTTTTGAACAGCTAAACTAAGCGAAGTTCTGTTTTAAAAAAAAAGTCATAAATTATTTGTATTTTTTTTATCATCCAACTATACTATAGATACCCCTTTTAGAAAAAAAATCCTTGTTTAATAATCTTTAAGTCCATCTTAATTAAGTTGCAATTTATCTCTAGTTGTTTAAAACTATACTACAGACACCCCTTTTAGAAAAAAATCCTTTTTTTAATAATCTTTAAGACCATATTAACTCAGCTGAGGTTTATCACGAAATAACTTGGTATTTATCTCAAGTTGTGTAAAACAATTTTGATTTTTTCTCCAGCCACCTTAAACCACATGTGTTTTCAGGAAAAATGGCTACAATAAATTATTGCAAAGCTTAAATTTCTTTTTTGTCAATGACCTGAAATGTGTAGAGAGAGAAACACTTTATTTTCATAAAATGATGTTGCCCAATTATATTAGGTTGCTAAATACACAACATATTAATCAATGCAATGGACAATCTTTAAAACTACTAAACTAACAATAATACAGTAACATTTCAATATATAGCATTTCCAAGTCAATTTCAACCTTTTCCAAGTCAAATTCAACCTTTTCCAAGTCAAATTAAACTTTTTCCAAGTCAAATTCAACCTTTTCCATTTCAAATTCAACCTTTTTTTATTTATTTAATTATCTTTAATTTTTCGATGTGTGGGTCTGTTATCGTATGAGTAGTTTTTGAAAATAACCTCCTTTTTAAGATTACGTGACTGAGTTTCGAATTATTTAAGTTTTTTTAATTATTCGATATAAGGGTGTATTTTTATGTTTCCCGATCAGTAAATTTTGAAAATGACATCCATTTTATGTTTACGCCACTGTGTTTTGATTTATTTAAGTTTTTAGAATTTATCCAATATAAAGGTCTACTTTTATGTTTCTGCAGCCATAGATTTTGAAAATGACCTCCATTTTAAGATTAGGCCACCGCGTTTCGACTTATTTGAGTTTTTCGGATATTTTTCATACGAGGGTGTATTTTTATGTTTCCGGAACTGTAGATTTTGAAAATGATCTCCATTTTAAGATTAGGCCACCGCGTTTCGACTTATTTGAGTTTTTCGGATATTTTTCATATGAGGGTTTATTTTTATGTTTCCGGAGCTGTAGATTTTGAAAATGACCTCCATTTTAAGATTAGGCCACCGCGTTTCGACTTATTTGAGCTTTTCGGATTTTTTTCATATGAGGGTGTATTTTTATGTTTCCGGAGCTGTAGATTTTGAAAATGACCTCCATTTTAAGATTAGGCCACCGCGTTTCGACTTATTTGAGCTTTTCGGATATTTTTCATATGAGGGTGTATTTTTATGTTTCCGGAGCTGTAGATTTTGAAAATGACCTCCATTTCATGATTACGCCATTAGATTTTGACTTATTTAAGTTTTTCGAATTTAGCCAATTTAAAGGTCTACTTTTATGTTTTCGGAACCGTAGATTCTGAAAATGACCTCTATTTTATGATTACGCCACTGCGTTTCAACTTATTTAAGTTTTTAGAATTTAACAAGTATAAAGGTCTAATTTTATGTTTCTGGAGCAGCAGATTTCCCCCATTTTGTAAATGACCCAATTTCAAGTTTATGCCACTGTGTTTTGGATTATAAAAGTTTTTTTTTTTTAATTTTTCGGTATAAGAATCTACTTATATGTTATCCGAGACGCATTGAAAATTTTCTAATCTTTAATATTTAAGCTCCATTTTATGATTAAGCCGCTGCATCTCGAATAATTAGGCTTCATTTTGGATTTTTACAATACAAAGTTTCATCAATATGTTTTAGAGTATAAATAAATATTATGAAGCTAAAGTTAAATTAACCACAGAATACAAACTAAAAAGCCGAAAAGGAGCTGGTAATAAATTTAACCTTCCGTATTCAGATTTTTCAGCTAATTGTTCGAAATCATATAATTTTGTTACAGGAGACCACAACATTAAAAAAGATAACTAAAATTAAATTAA